TAAAAGAATTCGTACAGAAGAAAACATCCGTGACACAGCGCTATATTCTTGGTTCGAGGACGAACGTGCTGCTGGAACACCAATCTCGGGTAGTTACCTCCAAGAAAAGGCTTTGGAGCTCCACAAAGCGAAAGGACTCGAAGGCGATTTCAAGGCGAGCAGCGGTTGGCTCAACAATTTCAAGAAGCGCTATGGTATCAGAGAATTATCTATGCAAGGAGAAAAATTGTCTGTTGATAGTATTGGAGCAGAAGACTTCAAAAGTGAAATGAAGAATTGCATCGTAGAAGGAGGCTACTCTTTGGACCAAATGTACAACGCAGATGAAACGGCCTTATACTTCAGATCGCTGCCACGGAAAACTTTAGCTGCAGGCCACGAAAGACAAGCAGCGGGATTTAAAGAGCCAAAGGAACGAGTCACGGTCATGTGCTGCGCCAATGCGACGGGATCGCATAAAATTACGCCTTTAGTCGTCGGAAAATTTGCAAAACCAAGATGTTTCGCTAAGTGTAAAGGAGAAAATATTTTGTTACCAGTGAAGTATACTAGCAGCAAATCAGCCTGGATGAACAAAAAATTGTTTTTGGACTGGTTCGAAAACGTCTTTATTCAAGAAGTAAAAGAAAAACATCCAGTGCATAGGAAAGTGCTTCTTTTACTCGACAATGCGCCATCTCACCCTTCTGCTGATGAGCTGAACCAAATCGATGAGACGATCCAAGTGAAGTTTTTACCGCCGAATGTGACGGCTTTGGTTCAACCTATGGATCAAGGAGTGATAGAAAAAATGAAAAAGATGTACTGAAAAAAGCTGTTGAAAGAGCTTTTCCTACAGCAACGTGGAGGCAGTACGAAAGGCAGCATTCACAAATTAGCGCAAAAACAAGATATGAAAGATTACTGCTATAGAGTTTGGAACTCTTGGAATGACATCAACGACCGAGATATTTCCCATGCCTGGAATCGGCTTTTTGATGTCGCTGATTTTCCACGAGAGCAACGAGTTTCTGCAGAAGAAGTCAATCAGTTACTTGCCCTTCTCAGAGATGCTCCAGAGTACGCTGATTGTACTTTTGACATGGCAGCAGCTTGGATTGCAGCTGATTTTCAAGAAAACGCCTGGAGCGTTCAAATGTTGTTGAAATTTATGAGAGGTATGTAAAGATGTTTTCAATAAATAAATTTATATATATATATATATATAATTTCATGATACGTTGTATTAAAGCATGCTATAATTTTTTTTTAGGATGACAGCATCTAGTAATGGCTCGGAAGAAGGTGAAATTGAAGAAAGCGATCGTGTATGCCAACCAGAAGAAGAGGTTTCACGCGAAGATGCGTATAAGGCTGCACTGACACTCTTGAAGTTTCTTGAGAATGATTGAGATTCTACGCCAGGCCAAATCAAAAATATCCAAAATCTTGCAGATCATGTTATTACTAACTATAAGCCAATTTGAGTTTTTCATAATTTAATTTTGATATTTATGTGATTTCTGAGTTCCTATATGTAATAAAAAAATATCTAGTTTGTACAATGAAAATAAAATAGATTTTTATTGATTTTTTACCAAACGCGTTGTGTATTGTGATTTTTATTGAAAACGAGACATGATGAAAAAAAATACCAGTATGTAATTTGCAATTGCTTATAAAAATTATTTAAACGAATTAATAGATCTTTTATTTATAAAAACTAAAAAAACCATTGGTGTTATTAGTTTTTCAAAATCGGTAGTTTTTAAAAATTTTGAATCGTTTATAATGATTTTACACTAACAAATTAGAATCTGACAAAAAAAAACGCGATAGAGAATGTCTTAGATTTTCTCGTCAAACCAATTGATGCTTTTAATTTTTTTAAAGAAAAAAAAATTTTCCGATTTATTTTAATAATAAACAAAATTTTTAGCGATTTATTTTTATAATAAAAAAATAACAAAAATATAAAAAAATATGGTATTAAAAAAAAGAAGTATTTCGTTCGTTCATGTTTTACAAAGAAATTAAATAACTAATTATTGCCTATACATATGTAGAAATCATAAATAAAATTTATTTGCGTTCAATTTTTTAAATTATCAAAAAAAAGTTGACTATCATATTAATTATACTTTGTTGTTAACGTATGAATTTTGTTTAATATAAGGCGCAGCTGCTTATTTTGAACTATTTTTGAGGGCCCCAAAGGGCCCGCGCGGCAAGCTACAGTATGCCCATACCTGGCCGTACGCTCTGATTGGCTGCCGCTCACCGAGAAGTGCCGGGGCGAGCTACTCCCGAGAGCGAGAAGTGCCGCGGGTTCGACTGTACCATTATTAACTTACGAATCCAACTATTGAATCTCAGATACTAGCAAACTATAAATCAGATTTAATTGTTATATCGTAAATTTTTAACAATCAAATCATATCTAGATTTCACCGTCTACCATTCTTCAGTCATAATCAATATTTAAAAGATCCCTGTATATAAGAAAAACAACAAATTTAGGATTTGAAAGAAGTAGTTAATGATAACTAATCTGTAATATATGACTTAAAACTTGTAACGTGGTGATCACGGCATGACCGTGGTTCTTATCGGGTTCTCGCCGAGGTCCGCGCGCCATGCTAAGCTGTGAATATGTGCGTTGAAATCACAAACTCATGCTTGCCTTTTATTCGTTGAGGTGCGATTCTAGGACGAGCGGCGAAGAAGGGCGCAGGCGGCAGTGGAAGAAAAGCAAGAGAGAGAGAGAGAGAAAGAGAGAGAGAAGCGAAAAGAAAGAGACAGAGAGAGAAAAATGAAGAAGTTGCACGTGCATCGTCGTGCTGATTTTACCAGCCAGTACATGCTGAGCTTCAGCATAAGCCGTTACGCGCGCCATTTTCCGTCGATCAGTTTTCCCGCGCTCTCGCCGAAAGATTTTTGGTTTTTTCGGAGACGCGCGCGGTGTGCGGAAGTTTTATGATATTGTCTGAGTCATGCCTAGTGATGCGGGTCGGCTCTTGAGCGGCCGTTGCTACGAACAGTGTTTTTACTGTGAGCAGAAAGTTGCTGCGAGAAGCCACTTTGTTGCCACAAACAACCAGGGTGACGAGGAGAGTAACAACGAAAAAAACAAGTAACGGAGACAACAACATTAGCGACAACGACATCAACAACACCGACGACAACAACGTAAACAACTACAGCGACACCGAGGTCGCTGCTGCCTTTTTCTCTCTCTCTCTGTCACTCATGCTTCAGACGCAGTTACTACGCGGGACGAATGGCAGATCTGCTAGCAACCTTATCGACTGTGGCCGTTGTTGAATTGTACAAGCGCGTTTAAATCCTATTGCTGACTGTAGGAGAAGTCGGAAAGGCAGATTCGATGGCAGCCTAATCACTGATTCGTTCTTCGTGAGCGCGGAAAATTTTGTCGAACGTAGATGAACTGGTGTTACGTTTGATTAATTATAGTTGAACTTTTGTTTGTTGTCTTATTTCGAGTGATATTTTGTTTTGTTAATTAAATTTTTTGTTATTAACTAGTTATCGTTGTTTTGCCTAATCACTCCTTATCTTGAATATTGTAACGCGTGTTTTGAACTGTTTTACTCGGCAGATCATTCAGTCGTGAAAACATTTCCCGAATACCTCCCTTTAAATAAATCGTACGGATGGCCGCAAGATACCCAAAACGGGAACGGTTACAATTTCTCCATTACAAATTCAAGATATAGATAATGCCATGAAAAATGAAAATAACACCTTTAAAAGGCACAAATATTGTGATTTCTAAATATTCAACAACATAAGAAACCAATATCCATATTTTCTTAGTTAGTTTCAGATAAATTGAAAAAAAAATAATTTTTACAAAGCTGTGTCTTAGTATTGGAATTCTTGATTATCAAATCGCATATTCGTGATACTGGTGCGACATTCAGTTTAAGTGAACTCGTTTAGTTAAGGCCATTAGCTTTGACTCGGTTACCTTTGCTCTTATTACTCGCCTTAGATTTATTGTAGATTTTCCTATCTTCTTTGCTTTCATTCAGGCTTTGTGCAGATGCCCTTACCTAATTTATTTTTATGTTAGATGATGATGAGTACGGCTTGCCATTAGATTTTTTTACATGCCTTTCCTTCATACGCCGCATCGGAAATGAGAACTACTTTATTAGCGGAGGAAATTTATAGCGCGCATCTTTCTCATGCTGTCGTTCAAATATTTTACTCCAATATCGCAAGTTGTTAATAATTTTATCGAAAAAGTCTTATATCAAGAACAAATCCTAATGAATAAAACTAGTTCTTAAGAAATAGTTTTATTTCACTCTAACGTTGAGGATCGTACACTATTTAACGTATACTTATATTATTTAAATAGTGAATTTATATTTGCAACTCAGAAAATTCGAACTTAATTCAAGTACATCAAGATAAAAACTGTTTGATATCTTTGTGAGAACAATTTTTAGAAGCCAACATCGAAAATTACCAATTTCATAAATTCATAGGTTGGTATTCTTAATAAAAGTTGAAATAATTATACACAATAGCAATTACAACACAGATTTATTTTGAAGCTACGTTACTATAATGTTCAATAAAGTAATAGATACTTTGCAATATTTTTATAAAATTAAAGATATAATAAAAGATTATAAAAAACTATGGACTATGGGAAAAACTTCCTAACAAGAAAATTATAAACCTGGAATCTGATACGAGATTCATAATTTTTTTAAATCATTTGAATATTGAAACTCCATATACATTGCATCATAAAAATATTCTATATCTGGCATGTGCGATAAAAAATATTTATAAATCAAATTATTAATTTGACAAAAACAACCTCCATATTAAAGGATGGATTTATATATTGGTGATAATGATTCATATAAAAATTCAATTACATATTTTGCTATACCTACATTAACGATCGAACATGAATATTATTGGCAAAGTGTTCTGTACACTATTATTTTACAATATAAGATTCTTGCATTTTATCTAACCTGGTGATAATCGAAGAACATCGCAACAAACAGCTTCAGAAAATAAGCCCAAACTTGCATAATTATCTGCTCGAATTTGTAATGCGTGCATATCTATATCAAAACCAATAACGCTTGCGGCTCCTAAAATGGAAGAACCTACGGATAAAATTCCACATCCTGTACCTAAATCCGCCACGTACTGATTAGTGATATCTGCGTACTGTGTTTGTGCAACATATAATATCCGCGAGGCGATGTGTGAACTAGTCGAATATTGTTCTAATGATATATTAGGAACCTCAAATGATAATAAATATTGCAATTTTTCTTCTAATTCACGTATTTTAATCATTTTTTTTTGTTTTGTTAAAATTCACTTTCCATACATTAATTAGTATCTTCAAAACGAGGTAGAACCGGTAATATAAGATTTCCAAATGATGAATCTTGTGTCACGAAGAAACCCGTCGAAGACGCATGAGCATTCAGTAATGCTGATCGTTGCAGTGAATTGATTGAATTTCCATCATAGTTTGAAGAAATTGTAGTCTGTAATCAGAATTTTTTTATATATAATCAATAACTATGAAATGGAACTGTATATGATACAAAGTAAATGATAGTTTTGATATTACCACATGGAGTTATTATAATCTTTTATGGTACATATAAGCTTTAGAAAACTTTGTATTTGGTGAATACAAATAACTTAATAATTTTATTTATATTCGAATTAATATAGTGAATAAGTAAATTGGTAGATTGAAAATGTAAAATTAAATATTTATTTACTACAATATACATTGAAAATATGAAATTAAGAGTTCAGGTTGAGTTGGGTTGGGTTGGGTTCGCATTCACAGAAATAATCATCTTCAAAATAATCATGTCCTAATATAGATTAATAATATACGTTAATGCGATAATGAAATATAGTTTGAGTTATTTTATTCGGACTATTCTTTTGGCTAGAAAAATTACGATAACCCATTCAGTACGCGACGGCAGCTTTTTCGATTCCAATTTTAGTGGCTTTAATAGGTTAGAAATCGATTCCCCCCCCCCACCCCCAAAAAAAGGAAAAGAAAATTTATATACATTACGTAACAAAATTATAACATGTAACAGGGTGGATTAGCTAGTAGAAATGAAATTTATTAAAGCACAAACTCCCACGATGCAGAGCTAACCGCCGCTCCGTTAAACACGTATGATTATACGTGTATTCGCCTATATGTTTGATACTTTCTATTCAGTGTAATCTTTCCAATAGAGTCGAACTCACTTAAGTTACCTGACTTGTGACACTCAATCTATCTTAGGTGTGAGTGACCTAATGTTTACTCCAACTATCCCTAGAAGAAATCGGTTTAAAAATTAGCCGGTGACAGATCCGTTAAACTAAAAAGGAACGAAATAACGTAATTCTGCGAATAAAATTAAAATCTTTAATCACACAAAAAAACTACAGTCTTCGTTGAGCCGAAAGAATTATGTACGTGAATATGATTAACAAATTGTTACAATAATACCGAGAGAGAGAGAGAGAGAGAGAGAGAGAGAGAGAGAGAGAGAGAGAGAGAGAGAATTCAAAATTTGACCGTGAACACTAATGCTCGACGCGAATACAAAAATAACAGTAGCGATAGACAAAATACTCTCGCTAGTATTTTGTCGCGCATAAAAAAAGGGAGGTGTACCTACCCTACGGTGCAATTACGGTGATCAGCCATAATTGTTGTAGCAAATCAAATGTTGGTCCTCCTCTTGCCCCCCAGGGCCTACATCATTTCTTGTCTATAACTGGTGCTCAGTGTTTCGGGTAGCGCCAGTGTGTAGCCTTCTTCGGGCATCGCTAGGAGTGGGTCACCCCAGGCTCCCCACAAATATAGCAGCACCACAGCTGCGATCGGGATTGGGCAGCCTCCCGATCGTATTGGGTATGCTCGGCAGACCGAGGGGACTGCTGGGCGCTGAATCCCTGGGAGGCGATGATCGTCACGCCTCCCACCGTGGCAGTCGCACATCCATACTGCGACCTGACTACGAATGTGGTGTCGGGAGCCACACACTCGTCCACGTGGATCGTGAGCATCGACCCAGCACCAGTAGCTTTCGAGGCTCTCTTCTCCTGAGCCGTCGCAGGAAGCGCTGCGGGGATCCTGTCCTTGTTCCACCCGCAGCAGGGCCTCTCCATAGGCCCTCTGGCATTGAGCCACATCTGCCCACGTCCCGAGCAGCTCTTCTGCACCCTGGCGATTCAGAAAGTGACTCAGGTGCTCCTGCACCTGAGACTGGAGATCTGATGCGAACCGCCAGCTACTCTTCACCTCGTTGAGCCCCAGACATACATGTCTGAAGTCGAGGAGGAGAGTCGGCTGCTCCGGGATATGAGGGTGGTTGCTGACCTAGAGCGAAGCCACACAGGTTTCCATGGGTCCAAGGTACTGGCTTGCACTGTCCGACGTCTGAGGTACGCCGGACTTGAGGGTCTGCACCACCTGGTACACGGTGAACTTGGGACACTCGACTTTATCCTGATCTTCTGTCTGAGTCGAAGCGTCCCGGGAAGCTTTCTTCGGGGTGACCCACGTGTCATCCCGGAGAACGTCTGTTCCGATCCATGGTGAGGCTCCCTTCGGGTGGTCCCCTCCAACTGGACCCTGGCGAAACTACGCAGATCTCCAATAAGTTGCCTTGCATCAGGGCCCAGATGCAGATCTAACAGCATCTGGGTGACCAGCTCGAAGGTTTATTCCACCACGATAATTCTCCGATTCATCTGTAAAATCCAAAACAAAAAATTTTTGGATGAAACTCCCTGCGCTAAAGAAAATCCTGTTATGCCGCATTCCACCGGGTTACACGGTTCCCCGCTTTACCTTGAGTGAACGCTCTGGCCCTCGTCGGTTACCGATCCCTTCTCGTCTCTTGTTCGGGATTATCGGCCCAACCGTCCTTTGTACGACGGGCATGGTCTTTCGAGGCCTACCTCGCCTCTTGCCTAATCGGTGACCGTCTCTGGGACCTTGCGAGGTCGACCTCGACCTCTCTTGGTTGGGGCGGATACTGGTAAATCCGACGCTTCGTGCGAGTGTTACCTACGCCCGTGCGGGCTGCTAATTCGATTCCCTCGCTCGATAAATCCCCGCCCGAGTTTTCACACGCTTTCGCAGAATAGCTCGCCTCCAACGGTTCTTCTTCACGTAGCTCGATAGGTTCGTTGTCGGTCGCCTCCTCATTTTCCTCTTCGCCCGGACCATTATACGGTTTAAAGTCTTTGGTTTGGAAGAGTTCAGGCAGGATCTCTAGCTGATTACGCAGTCTGCACGTGTTGGGACCGCAAACCTCTTCAATCACGTACGGACCGGCTTATTCGGCGCCAATTTGACTGGTATGCCTTGGGCAGCCGAAGAAAGAATCCTGTTTCTCTTCCATACTCAATCTCCGACCTTAATGTGGGGTTGCCGTCTCTTTCGGTCGTAGTAACCCGTCTGACGCGCCGCTTCCTCCTTTGACGTGGAGTTGGCTCACTCCCATAGATTACGGAGCTTCTCCATATGTTCAACACAATCCACTACAGCTTGACCATCCAAACATTCAAGGGCCTGCTGATCTTGGGATCTTCTGAACGTCAAAGGAGGTACCGGTTGACGTCCAAAGATGAGCATCGCAAGACTATAACCGGTGGCGCTATGAGTTGCCGAGTTCAACGCAAAGTTGAACTCTGACAGGTGCTCGTCCGAACTCTTATGATCACGGCTCACATACGACGTGATCATGGTTTTGAGCGTCCTGTTTACTCGCTCTATGAGATTAGCTTGGTGATGGTACACGGGAGTCGAGGCGCGCTGGATGCCGTTCATCTGAAGGTATGAATCTATTTCCTGATTCTTAAATTCGGTTCCGTTATCCGAAAAGAATACCTCTGGCACGCCAAACCTAGTGACAATCCGCTCGTATAATTCCCTTGCGATCATCTTCTCATTGGCTTTGCGTATCGCCAAGCACTCAATCCAGCGAGTAAAAAGGTCTACAAAGACTAGGACATACTCACAACCTCGAGAGCTTTTGGAAAATGAGCCAGTGATATCACCGGCCACCACCTGCCAGGGTCGTGACACTTGTTTACGACCCATCAGCCCGCAAGGTGCTCTTTGTTCCACTTTGCATTGCTGACATACCGTGCAACTCTTTACGTATTCTCTGACCTGATCATACATATTAGGCTGTAGTACAAGCGCCTAACCCTGGAGAACGTACGCTCTTATCCTTGACGCCCTGCCGTCGGAGCATCATGGACCTCCTGGAGGACTTGGTGCTTTCTCTCTCTAGGCACCGCAAGCTTCCACGCTTTCTCGTTGTCGATGGATCCTACACCGTCCTCATCAGGCTGATAATGATACAGCCTCCCCCAACTACCTTCCATGTGGGGTGTGAGTGTGGATTTTGGTATACCTCCTGGTATTATTGCAAATACCAGGCATTAGTGGTCTCCTGCCGATAATATATGGCAGTCACTTCAATCCCCTCCTTCAGATAGGCCCTAGACAATGCGTCCAGTACTACATTGAGATCTTCATACGATATTCAATATCTAAGACATTGCCTTGCAATGCTAGCGCCAAACGCGCTAGTGTTCCCGGAAGATTTCTCATACTGTGGAGCCATTTCAGGCAACTTTGAACAGTGATGACCTTGAAGTGATGCACTTCAATGTACGGCCGAAATTTTTCAATGGCCCATACCACTTCCTAGCACGCTCTCTCGGAAACTATAATATATAATTTCTTTTAGCGCTATTGAGTGATCGGCTGGCGTAGTCAATCACACGCTCCTCTCCATCAACATCCTGCGTGAGAACTGCCCCGATCCCATTGTCACTGACGTCAGTTTGTACTACAAACTGACCGCAAGGATCGGGTGGTTGCAGTATTGGGGTGGAAGCCATCGCCTCCTGCAACCTCGTGTAGGCTCGCTCTTGCTCCTCCTCCCAAGAGAAACGTACATTCTTTTTCGTCAGGTGATTTAGAGGTTCAGCAATCTGGCGATGTCGGGAATAACACGTCTATACGACGACGTCATGTCCATGAATCGCTTTACTTGTCTCACTATCATTGGTGTTGGATACTTCCGTATCGGTCGTATCTTCTTGGGGTCTGGTCTTACTCCGTCCTGGTTCACGAAGACTGCCAAGTACCTTACTTCCGTCTTACAGAAATGGCTTTTGGCTTTGTTGATGGTTAGATCCGTACCCAGAATTCTCTTTAATGCCATTTTCAGGTGCCGCTTATGCTCCTCAAATAACGACGAAACCACAGTTACGTCGTCGAGGTAGACAAAAGCGACTGGATCCATGTACGGGCCTATCACCTTATCCATCAACCTCTGGAAAGTTGCTTCCGCGTATGACAGTCCGAAGGGCATCCTTTTGAATTGAAAATGCCCCAGACCTGGTACTGTAAACGCCGATATCGGGCGCGATTTTTCCTTTAGGCGAAT